ATAACGACGACGTCACTTTGGTCCACAGGCTTCGTCCCCGACGATTAGCGATGTGCCCGGGGACAGCTCCTCCTTTGTTGAGTCCGAACAACTTTTTTCCGTTCTTAAAAGATAATGACTTCCAGGTCATTTTCACATCACACTAGTTAAGTAAAAGCATAATTGTGGATGCGCAATGACCACCGTAGTCGACGCGCCCGAAAACACCAGCAAACAACAACGGTCCCCATGGTTTCATCTGATCAAAGCTAAGACCAGCCTTGGCTTGAGACGAGAAAAGGACTAAAGTCGCAGATAGCAATGCCTTTATCAGATGAGATAGCAGACTTGGTCATACTTGGTTTGCGAAACCCCTCGACTTGTATGTTAAGCTGCCACAGGCTGCAGTTTAAGCTTGCCTTCTTCGTGAAGGCTGGCAGACGTTTCCCCCGTCGCCGACCGCGTCATAGGCTGCGTTCAATTTGCGGCCGTGTGTCCGAGGCTCATCGTGAGCTGGCCGCCCCTTCTCAAGTCCATCACGGGCAGGCCGGCCCTCCTGAAGTCCATAATGGGGCGGCCGGCCCTTCTAAAGCCCATCACGGGGCGGCCTGGCTGTTGTGAGACCCATCTCGGGGCAGCAGGGTTCTATTGAGAGTGGTCTCGGAGCAGCACAGCTCCATTGAGATCCGTCTCGGAGCAGCACAGCTTCACTGAGATCCGTCTCGGAGCAGCACAGCTCCATTGAGATCCGTCTCAGAGCAGCACAGCTCCATTGAGATCCGTCTCAGAGCAGCACAGCTCCATTGAGATCCGTCTCGGAGCAGCACAGCTTCACTGAGATCCGTCTCGGAGCAGCACAGCTCCATTGAGATCCGTCTCAGAGCAGCACAGCTCCATTGAGATCCGTCTCAGAGCAGCACAGCTCCACTGAGATCCGTCTCGGAGCAGCACAGCTCCATTGAAATCCGTCTCGGAGCGGCTCAGCTCCATTGAGATCCGTCTCGGAGCAGCACAGCTTCACTGAGATCCGTCTCGGAGCAGCACAGCTCCATTGAGATCCGTCTCAGAGCAGCACAGCTCCATTGAGATCCGTCTCAGAGCAGCACAGCTCCACTGAGATCCGTCTCGAAGCAGCACAGCTCCATTGAAATCCGTCTCGGAGCAGCACAGCTCCATTGAGATCCGTCTCGGAGCAGCGCATCTCCATTGAGATCCGTTTCGGAGCAGCACAGCTCCATTGAGATCCGTCTCGGAGCAGCACAGCTCCATTGAGATCCGTCTCGGAGCAGCAATCCATAGCCACATCTCCATTGAGATCCGTCTTGGAGCAGCAGAGTTTCATTGAAATCCGTCCTGGTGCGGCCTCAGCGAGGCTCATCTGAAGGCGGCAGGGACTTTTAAGGTCCATCTCGGGGTCACCGGTTTGCTCGGAGGCCCGTCTCAAGGTGGGTGGGACCCTCGGGGGCCCATCTCTGGGCGGTTGTGTCCTTTGGAGGCTCATCTCAGGGTTGCCTGGTCCTTCGAAGGCCCACCTCAGGGCAGCTGGGTCTCTTCTGGGTCCCTTGGAGACTCATCTCTGGGCGGCTGGGTCCCTACGGGCTCATTCGGAGACCCATCATTGGGCGGCTGGGTCCTTCGGAGACCCATTTCAGGACGGTTAGGTCCCTGCGAGGTCCTTCGGAAGCCCACCTTATGGCGGCTGGGCCCTTTCCGGGTCCCTCAGCGATCCATCTCAAGGCGGCTGGGTCCCTGCTGGGCCCTCGGAGACCCATCTCTGGGCGGCTGGGTCCCTCCCGGGCCCATCCGAGATCCATCTCTGGGCCCTCCGCGGCGGAATTTCCGGCCCAGCGGAACCACGGCCGTGACATGGGGCCGGCCGTGAACAAAAGCTGTTGTGTCTGATGGCGGCCAGGCCGGGCCGGAGGCAGCGGCAGGACGCGCTCGCGAGCCGCCTCCGCCCGGATGAGTTCTGGTGGCGGTTATTGTGCCACTGTAATGCACAACTGCGAAGACCGTTAAATGCTGAGAGCTGTTTCGTTCCGCCTCCAAAGTTCATGCGGAAGTGGAGACAGCTGTGCAGGTCGTGGCACGGGCTGAATGTTTTTTATTATTACTAAAATGGCTCAGGGAGTTTTCCCCACAGCGAAGGAGGCGAGGTAAATGAATAAAGTTTTTGGTAACTATGCCACCCGCTGCCGGCTTTGCGTGGCCAAATGAATTGCGGCAAGATGTATAGCAAATAATTGCGTCCCTGTGCTTTTGAACATCGCAATTCTGACTTGTCTTAAGAGCAGACCTTACCTGTTTTTACTACGAATAAATGCAACGGCTCTTGCATATTATTTTATTGTTATTGGGTTTTGAGTGCGCCTCAACTGCACACATCATTTGCACCCTAGCTATTAAATGGCTAATATTGGCAAATCTGAAGGCGTACAAACACCCAGCGAATAACGCTGGTAATATGTTCGCCTATCCTGCGGATACCAGTCAATGCGAGTACAAGTGGCATATATACGTAGCGAATATAATGTTAGATAATATGGCAGACACAGCTAGCAATTATATGTAGATATTTCTACGGTCATGTATGTACATATATATATATATATATATATATATATATATATATATATATAAATACTCACTCACTCACTCACGCATTCACCCCCTCACACTCATTCACACATTCGCGCTCTCACTCACTCACTCACTCTGTTTTCCTTAATTTAACTATGTTTCATTGATAAGCAAACTTTCTGTTCAATCGTTTGATGGTTCTGATGTGCTTTCTCGTGTCGAGGTGCAGTTCAATATTACTCATATAATGGATTGTACGCTGGGCGTATATTCACGAAAAAGTTACTTTTCGTTTTACCGTTATACATATTCAGTGATTCGACGGAAAAATCACTGCGGCTCATGTAATACATTTGTTTTGCTCGTATAGTTTTGCCCAATTAAACAGCCTTCATGTCTTATGTAGGCGCTAAGCATTCATGCATGCTCTGTGTATCTTAAATGTTTCCCGAAATTAGGGACCGCCCACTGTTACCTGTCCGAAAAATAGCAGGATAAAACAAGCATATATTGGTGTGTTGGGTACTGAAGTATGTTGTCGGGTTAGTAGAGCTTATAATATTACCGGTCGTTCTTTGTTGCGTTGTATTTCGATTGTTGTGTTCTCAGCGAGATGCTTGCATATCAGTGTTGTTTGGTTGCGCTGCGTCATGTGTTCTTTTGGAGCAACGTGTCTGAGATGCACTGTGAGTCTCCTCGAAAGAGCGGTAGTTTTGATTCCAATGCAGTGTACCTCACGTAGCCCACAGTCTTTGCACAGAGTGTAGTATTGATCATCTACTTTGACGCACTTGAACATGTCGTTTGTCTGGCATGATGCTGTTTTTTATCAAAAGGCTTCTTGATTTTTTCTGTTCTTTTAAGAGACAGTTGAAGGTATGTGCTGATGGGGGAGGGGAAACAGTATCATCTGCCTTCTGTCATCTCAGAAAAGGAATATAATGGAGCCATTGAGAAATGGTGAGGTACGTCTGATTTACTGTCATCAGAGCACGTTGTACAACGGACACTTGACGGTGGCAAATTGAGCGCAAAATTACCATTGCCGTCGACGCGCCTGAAAACACGACAGCAACAAAAAGGTGGTAAAGCCTGCATTTTAAAGGAGAAGGATATGGTTAAGATCGTACCCGGTCGGTAGCTCATGGTGACCATTTGGAATAAATTTATTACGCGCGAATAAAAAAGCTACGCCGCCAAGGGAACTGATACACTTATTACACAACTATAGAGCATCTTCTCCGGAGCTGCAGGCGAACAGTCACCCACATTGTATGAGGACCCGTGTTGTATTATGTGATTTAGATTGCCTAGGTTAGTGACCCGACACGACTTGTGCCTAAACATGCAGTATGTCTCTAAATTCAACGTTGAATAAGGCACTGGAAATACAAAAAAGGAATGCGCGATCCATTCTGCAGCTTTTCTAATAAAAGTCACGTGGCGTGAAAACCTACCCCCTTTCCCCTTCCCACACCCCACCGGTCCAAGGGTGTGATCTGGCCTGGTCAGCTGATGTCCGATCTCTGCCCCTCCCCCTCCCCACACCCCACCGGTCCTAGGATCTGCTCTGGTCAGCTGATGTCTGATCTCTGCACGCCGACGATCGAGTCACCTGTCTGCGAGACTACTGGTATTTAGAACTGAAGCCGCCTCGTAGCTTCTCAAACGGTCCGAGACAACCAATATAGTCTAGCGGTGGAAGATGAAGGATTAGTATGGAAAACGGTCTTTAGGTCTAACCGTAAATGTTTATGGTCGACTGTAGGTATAAACATACGGTTTCGTCATCAAGTTGGCAATGCTTTCCAATAGGACGCATTTGTGAACCACCGTCCCAGAGCATGGTGTGCTGGTTCACAAATGGTGTTGTACACGTCTCCGTTGTTTTTCCGCCGTTGTCGCGGGGTGGATGACCTATTCGTGTCCCTGTAGACAGTCGATGACCTACCCGTGTCTCTGCAGACAGTTGATGGCCTACCCATGTCCCTGGAGACAGTCCATGACCTACCATTAATTTGCAGACAGTCGATGACCTGGTAATGTCCCTGCAGGCAGGCGATGACCTACCCATGTCCCTGGAGACAGTCCATGACCTACCATTAATTTGCAGACAGTCCATGACCTGGTAATGTCCCTGCAGGCGGGCGATGACCTACCCGTGTCCCTGGAGACAGTTGATAACCTACCCTTGTCTCTGCAGACAGCCGACGACCTAACCATGTCTCTGGAGTCAGTCGGTGACCTGCCCATGTCTCTGCAGACAGTCCATGACCTATCATTACTTTGCCGACAGTCCATAACGTACCTATGTCCCTGCAGACAGTTGATGACCTATCCATGTCCCTGGAAACAGTCCATGACCTGCCACTACTTTGCAGACAGCCCATGACCTACCCATGTCTCTACAGACAGTTGACGACCTACCTATGCCTCTGCAGACAGTCGATGACCTACCGTGGCGCCATGCTGAATATTCATCGGTACCGACTGCGGGCCTCCTCCTGCCCGGACATCTACCGAAACTCCATGATCACCATCCTGTCTGAGGATGAGGACGAGGTGAGTATTCTGAGGACGAGCCGAAGACTGGGGGAACGAAGGGATGAGGTGAGGGCTCTGAAGGCGAAGCGGGAACTTGGGAACGAACTGATGACTTTGGGAGTGAGCTGAATACCTGGGGATAAGGTAAGGACGAGGTACGAAATGAGGACTCTGAGGAAGAGTTGAGGACCCGGGGACAAGGTGAGGACTCTGAGGACGAGACTTGCACGAAAGGGATCAGATAACGAATGGTATATCGCGTATGGGCGTACCGAGTGGTCACCACAATGAATTCCTTGAAAACATAGACAATAACTTACGGCATTCCAAGCGTTTTAACATTTAATTAAGTGTGGTCGGAACTTTCATATTTGTCACATCTGCCGCATCCGTATTCTGGTCGGCTTATGACGATTCAGAAATATTTGCTAATTGTCAGATACGTTAATATGTTGGGGGAACCAATCAGGCAAAAAAAAAAAACATGTGCGTGCAAGACCGGAGCAGGAAATTGCCTTTATCGTACGTATGTTGATAAGACAGCTCAAGTGACAACTTAGGTGTGACGTTTGATGACGCCACGTGCCGTGTTGTATACATTATCTTTCGTCGGAAATGATTTGTGCACAGGTCACTTAACAATATATATGGCAATTTGAAAGCTGGGCATTTCCATGGAGCTTTTTGCATCGTGTAACTGGGCTGTTATTCATCACAGTAACATTTAGAGCCACACTTTGTGGGTCAGAATCACGAATAGGTGGATATCTGGGCACAAACAAAGTGTGCAGCTGTGGTTTGCGATGCCCATGACAGCACTTGTTCTGGCGGGCGAGGTAATAAGGGCCTGCCCCGCCTCCGGTGGGCGAGGTAATAAGGGCCTGCCCCGCCTCCGGTGCTCGAGGTAGCAAGGACCTGCCCCGCCTCCGGTGGGCGAGGTAATAAGGTCCTGCCCCGCCTCCGGTGGGCGAGGTAATAAGGTCCTGCCCCGCCTCCGGTGGGCGAGGTAATAAGGTCCTGCCCCGCCTCCGGTGGGCCACCACCTCCAACGGAACACTAACCAGGAGCCAGCTTTGCGCTTGGATGTTTATGAATGTTGAGATTCAGATTTTACTCTAGCCGCAGTGCAGAGCCTACCTGATTACCAGTTGGAGGAGGGAGGGGGGGGGGGGGGGAGAAGAAGTGCCGAGAACTCCACGACGGCTATTTGCTTTTCTAGGAATGCAGATTATATACCCTTATTACTGATTGCTGCTGATCGGTGAGGAGCGATGAGATATCGCGTAGGACGGATGCCTGCGGACAAGTCCGGATTTGGCGCCATAGGGATGATGGCCGCGCACGCTCAGCACATGAAAATACGAGTCTAGTGGCGGGCGGATGTCTGCGGACGTGTCTGGATTTGGTGCCATAGGAGTGATAGCCGTGCTCAACACATGAAAATGTAAGTCCAGTGGCGGACGGACAAACTGGTGATGGGTTTCGCTGAAGCGAGTCATGCTATTATATTATAAAATATTATTATATTATATATGATATTATAGCATCTCGACACTGTCTGCGAGCAGGTCAACACAACTTCGAGCCTATTCCAACTTGGAATTAAAAAGAATTCGTTCTACCCACTCTCTGAAGCGATCACTATGCAAATGATTCCGCTGAAAACAGTTGGGGAGATGACCTATGGCATTGCTTTCATAAGCATCCAGATAGGACATGCATTTTGGTAGCGGAACAGTTAGTATGATGGTGTTCCATTTATTGCATTTGAAAGCTGAATGCATCATGTATACGACTGTGCATACGTCGAATTGGTTACGCTTCAAGCAACCCACCGACGGCTGGCTGGTTCAACAACGACCCCGACTCACAAGAAAATTCCGAGATAATTGATCCCACATTGATCCGACAAGGATCCTGTCATTGCGGAGTCTATTCTGACCCAATTCGGAGCGATACTGATGTATGATGGTTGAGACTGATGTGTGATGGTCGAGACTGACGTATGATGGTTGAGACTGATTTATGCTGGTTGAGACTGATGTATGATGGTGCTAAGTGATTTTTACATTGTGGTCACGCTCAGTTTTTGTTGGCGGACGATGTTCCACCCTCGTTAAATTCCGTGTATTGTTTGCTACGGTGCGCCTCAATAAGTTGTCGCCTTCACAACGCTCCTGCGTTTTGCCAGTTGCATTCATAAGCTAACTGAACGACATCATAACGTAAACAAAGCTATGAGTTACGCGTTGAAGCCGTGGCGTTCAGCCATGTTTTCGTTTTGCAACCAATGAGAAAATCGGACTGTCGTGGTGATCCAGAGGTAATACTAAGCATGCATTATATTTTATATTGTCTCTGGAGGAGAACGGAGTGGGCTGCGCAACATCGGTCACAGTTTCGCTTAGCCTTGCGTACATGCCGGATGGACGTCAGTCATTGTGAATATGTTTTGGCATCGAGGTCAACGCATTGACCCCAGCCGTAGACACGTGCATAACACACAGGGTATTAAAACATGCTCTGCCCGGGCATACCTGCCACCACTGACGTTCTGTGACAAAAGCTCACTGGTCGTTGGCCAGGTCGCTCTGTCTTAGCAACAATCTGGCGGGTCTTTTGTCAGTTTGTTCTAAAGGAGAAAATGACTCGAGCATCAGTCTTGAACATTAGTCCCGGGTCCGATGGCTGACCCTGAACCATTTCATTTCATTAGCATATCACGGCCTTTCATGTTGATTGCAGTGCTCTCTAATGGGCCTCTCCGGTCATCATTAAAGGGAGAACCTCGAGATTGCAGGCCCTGAAGGAGGACAAAACGGCTCGGTCGAGCAGTTTTGCTCAATCACCGCGCGTCAAACCGTCATTGCCCGACTTCACAGGAGGGCCGGCCCAGGATACGAATGTGGTAACGTGTCCGAACGTGATCCATGTATAGGTGCTATGCGGGGACGGGTTTGCTGGGTCAAAGCAACCGATGCTCGCTTGACATTGAGTGTTGAGCACAATGTCGCTTGACATTGTGGCTTGAACCCGGCTGGGCGTTGTGGGCGGTCTCCATTGGTGTTCCAGCACTTGGCTGGCAGATACACGAGCGGCCAGGCTGTGTTGCACGGACAACAGTGAGTCACGGACCCTGCGGTGCTGGACAAATTCTACGTAATACATGATCCATATAAATAGACGGTTTTAATACCAATGGAACTGTAGAGTTTGGCGCGATGTTTCATGTACTTCCTTGAAAAAGATATGAGTTGATTGCCTCCAAGCAATATAAGGGAGACTTGTACTGTCTTCCAGAGGGCTGTGCCACTAAATTTTATGTCTGTTACAATGTCGTTCAGTTTTGACTTTTTACTCCTTTGAGTGTCACGCAATGCGAAGCGAATTATTATGTTGTTCGTGCTGCGGTCTAGACGTTTCCAGAACATTTCCGTGAGCATTGCTGCGAACGAACTGCGAGTATACGTGCGTGCCTGCTTGTGTGCGTTCGTATTGATACGTTGTCCATTAGGTTGTCTACCGAATAGACGATAAAACCCAGCTTTGACCACTCCGGTGCCAGCATTTCTTGTTCAAAACAATACGGGGAGGGTTAGAATTGATTGGGGAAACGCGTACATTTTCCGGAAGCCTGCATGACTCAGACAGTTCAGTAATCTTTGGAAATGATCTCAATGTGAAATAATTATTTTGCATTGATGACTAGCTTTGAAGACGCGTGGCATCTCCTCTTTGGACCTTATGGTGCCGCCTGTGGTCTTCAGTGGAGAACAAAGATATTTAGCACTTGAATACAAGTTTAAGCGGCACAATGTGATGTTGATCTGGTGATCTTTACGTCAGCTTTCTCGTCTTAAATGTAAGCTACCTTACCAAGGTAACACAGAAAGTTGGATGACAGCGAAGAGCTGCAAATGCTGTAAAATGTGGCCAATTCGTGCACGCTATGATGCACTATCGTCCGTTCGCAGCCAGTACAGTCGTTTACAGTAATGTATGATATCATTAGACCAGCGTGATCCCCGGTCCCCGAGTACGGTAGGGTTTTCCAGTGTTAAATCGCACGTCATAATGACTATACATTGCAACTCTGTCCAGGGCCGTGCTCTGTGTGAGCCGCTAGAATATACAAGTAAGATACTGTAATATACTTTTATAGATGATACATTAGAAGAGATGGAATGCTTAAATAGTATACTTAAGATGAGCTACCTAGAAATGATATACTTAAGGTATGGTACTGAAAGGTTATATGCTTATGATAAGATGCTTAACTCGGCATTGACCGGGGGTCAAATCTGCCCCCGTCCCGCCCAATATTCATGATAATTCAAAAACGTCGTGATATGTTGCTGCGAATTTGTATTGGCTGCCGATGGCTGAGTTTTACATCTTGTGCCAAAATAGCAACTCAGATACCATCATAGGTCAAGCGTGCTTAATGTCAGAGTGACACCATGTTTGCCGATTTTGGAGAAAAGTGCATAACCATAGACAACTTGACACATAAGCCGAACAAAACAATACATTTTATATCTGTCAACGGGGAATGTAAGGCAATTAGCCAATTATTAATATGCCTTGTCTTTGTGATGTGCCCGTATTGCACGTTGAAATATTGGCGTGCCAAACACCAAAAAGTTGATAAAAAGTACATTCAACATTATTTGGCCTTCGACTCAACAGCAAAAATCTACCCCACTGTTTTTTCACCAGCGGGAGCATCCATTTGACCTTGCCCTTAGGCGGCTTATAAACAACAAACAGCTCTTGCTTACCTCTCTGACACCAATAATTGCGGCTAAGCTCCCCCACTTCGAATTTGGATGGCTCAAATGTGACGGCAATAATAGACCATGATAGACACGTAGACCAAGGTTTCAGCTCTCATTTGCACGGTACGTGTCCAGTGTGCCGCATACGTCCTGGCGTGGTTTCTCATTTGCAATCGGTTCAAGCCGTTTTCATCGCAGAAGCAGTACTGGGCGGCGTGTTGCATGACCGGGCTTCCTGTG